AATAACACCATAGGAGATTTACATATTTTTACTCAAAATCGATTTTAAAAATAGCCAGTAATTATGAATTATAGGGTAAATCAAGGATCATTCACCCACAAATGTAATCAATGGGATGAGTGAAGTCCGACGAGTCAGCCAGACCTGGAGATTCAGGGCAGCCGCATGTGGCGAAGACTTGTAGGGTCGTGGCAACTCCAGTATCTATGGGTCAGCGACCCGATAGGGAGATATGGACTGGGGTGGGGACATAGGAAGATATCGATGCTATAAAAGTATTTTTGTTCTCAGAGATAATTTGTTTAAAAAAATTACGAACTAAAATATCCTATACTCAAGAAAAAAAGCACTTATATAATTTTCTCACATGTACAGCTTTAATAGAGGGAAAGGAATAATCTTTTTCCAGAATCGGATGTTGATAATTACCACTCTGTGCTCTATGTTGATAGGAAACAAATAGCTTGTCATGAGTGGATATAATTTTAAATAAAGCTGCTAAATTGAAAATTTGTTAAATATGGTTTCTTTCTCTTCTTCTCTCTTTTATCTTTTCTCCTTTGTTCTGCCCAATCCTGACAAATTCTTTATAGAGCGTATGGCCCAAATTTTACCTACGAAATATAGAATCTCTACCATTCAGTACATTACTGTGAGTGTCACAAGAAATTCCAATGGTGGAAGAGAGAATAGGGACACTGGGAGTGAATGGTCCAAATAAAAAGACGCGTGTTTCTGTAGTATTTTTTTTTATTGCAATGCTCACGTGTAACGTATTATAGCATTTAAATTATTAAAAGTTTTGGTATAAAGAATATACAGAAAGCTAAATTTTAAAAAGTTAGATCACAAACGTGTTTTTTGCCTCAATTATATACTAATTAAATACTTTTTTTTTACAAAATTAAAATGTTTATTTAAGGCTTTGAAAATGAAATGAATAAAAGGTTTTCTCAGATAACATCCAAATTGAGGCACAAAACACGTTTGTAATGTTATTGGACACGACAACAACCTTACAAACGTGTTTTGTACCTCAATTAAATTGTTTTCTGGGAAAATATGTATTCATTTCACCTTCAAAGCCTTAAATAAACATTTTAATTTTGTAAAAAAAAATAGTACAAAAGAGTGAAATTGTATCGGGATGAGGGGGATAGAATTAAGAAAAAAAGACATTCCTGATCGTGCAACTAAAATTTGCTGATGGCTTGCTCCATCTGTCGGAATAATAAGGTACAGTAAACCCTCTACACGATCGTATCAAGTCTTGTTCTAGTAGACTTGATGCTGTAACCAGGAGGGACACTCCCCCTTTAAAAATCCTGAGTTCAACTGACCCGGTTGATGGTCCTCAACAAGGGTCCCACTCCAGGAATATGGAGGAGCTGTGTCCGTACTCATGTTAGAGTGCAGAAAAGGCTTCCATGTTAGGAACAGCCTCAAACTACAGGCAAAGTCAGACTTTCACCAAAGTGTGCCTGGATCATGGTGCCATGATCAACGAGAGCTGCACCCCTATACCCCATTCCATGAGATCATGAACTCATGGGATTCGTGTAATCTTTACACAAGGGGATAAGAAACAACAACATAAATATCAACTAATCGTTGTTAGTTTTGAAGATTATTTGTTGGTTGGAAATTGATTTGGAAGAAATATAGCCACATCAACCAATAATTTATTTAATTCCCGACGTTTCAATGTATCGCTGTTACTCTCATCAGGGGAGTTTGTTCCCCCCATTATTCCACTGAGGATAGTGAGAGCAAATCACTGAAACATCGAAAATGAAATAAATTATTGGTTGATGTGGCTAATCGTTGTTATTTAATACATAAAGATATGCTGGTATTTATGAAATAATTAAAAATCAACGATTATTTGATATTTATATCAACAGATGGCGCTGACAAATAGTAAAATTTTACAGGTAAACACACAATGTGAAATTTACTAGGACCTAAAGTAAGAGTAACTTAACACACAGAAAAGCGTACACTCAAGAGTACAACAACAACAAAAAAGGGAGTTAAATAAAATTCACGATTTGTAAAATAAAATAAAAACAGTACTTATATCTTTTATTGTAGCGTTAGTAGGGATCGGACCGGGGTCACACAGGGAATCGACCACACTGGTCTCTCACATTCCCTTAGCTCACCCTCTTATATACAAACATGACCACGTTCGTCCAATGAGAAGACGTGAGAGATCGGTTCACTTAAACCAAAAAAAAAAAAAAACAGTCTTCCCGCTAAATACTGAGATAGTATAAAACTGCTTATGCTTGTCAATTGCATGATCAGGAGATGATACCTTTTCTTATTTTAATTTTGCCCAAGATTCTCGTGGTAGATAGAAAAAGGAAGATGAAAAGAAGCAATGCTGAATTGAGGTAAAAGCCACAAATATTTGCATGATTTCACGTTAGAAGATTGGAAAAGTAATATTTACCAGTTTCCAAGATATATTAGAAAAGATTATTAATAGGTTTTCGATTTTTAAAGAAGAAAATGTTTACCAATATTAAAATACTTCAAATATTAATAAATAGGCATCTTTCTCTCCTTTTTAAAAAGCGTTTAATATAAATGGAAAACTTGTGTAAATATTCTATTTTATATACATACAGTGTTCGAATAGACATCATTTTAAATAATGGATAATCAAATTATTGAAACCGTTTAAGAAGTTAATTATTTATTCCAAAAAGATAAAATTGTTATGTACCTAAACTTTACAGAAAGGATGTATTTACGTTTTTTATATCACATAGGATCGATAAAAATCCTTGATGTCAAACTCATTCATAAAGCCTTTATTAACACATTTAATCTTATACATGTGGGGGGTCGGTGGGAGGATGGTTTAAACCCTTGGTTTTCGACCGCTACGACCCAGGTTCGATTCCCGCATTGGTTACTTTTTTCTGATAAAAAAAAAATGCTCCAATGGCCCCCGATTCTTGCAAAAGTCCAACCCTATCAGCGAGTGTAGTAACCAAACGGGGCTCTGGCAAATTCGTAAGTGCAAAGTCGAACTTCTTTTCACATGTGTAGACATGTGGTGCACTTACTGTAAAAGCAGTCGCCTACTTCTACCCACCATGATTATCATGGCCCGTACCACGTGTACTGGGGATAAGCAAAAAGAAAATCTTATACAGGTATTCACATCTAGAAATTCAAAAATCAAAGATGAAGATAAAAAAAAATCAAACCTCACTCTAACAGTATCTCTTGGGATTGAGGTTTTATGTTGTTATAATTATGACATCATATTATAACCACAATTAAAATAATCAAAATTTAGTATTAGGATATCATTGCTGTTATAAAAAGATTCCACTGTAATTGAAACCACTGATAATTGGGACTAATATTTGTCATATGAACCAGCAAGTCCCAATTGTTGAGTATTGACTGATCAACTATGTGGTTATCTAACCTATATGATAAGGTACAATGTATTGACTACAAATAGAAGATGTATATATCTTCTCTCATCTCTTCTTTCTTATCTCCACTCAATCATATTAAGGTATCAAGCCTGTAGAGCTTGGGGATTTTGATGGGGGGGTCTGCAAGGGATGAGTTGAGCTCATAAAAGATTTGAAACCTCCATGATGATTGGACATCCATAATGATTGGGGGAAGTAAAATGCGTCTGCTTTTGTCATTAAAACTGGGAGCACTACTCAGTAGCAGGCCGACTTAGCTCCAATATGAAATAGCCGCCTCTGACATGAGGAACAGACACCATGTGCAGCTGCTCCTAACAAGGAGTACGGACGCTGCCCATCTTGTATCCCTGGATCCCTTATAGGGTAATATCAGTTGAGCCCAGGTTTTTTGCCAGCTTTTTACTGCTCCCCCTCCTCCTTTCTGGGCTTGGAACCGGCAAAGGCGGAGTTTTACATATAAATAAATATGACAAATAATGTACAGAGAGAGATGATATGAAATTTGAGAAAGTATTCTCAGTTCAATTTTTTAATAAATAAAATAACTTTCTAAAGCTTTACCTGCGATGAAAACTATCTGGAGGGCCTCGTTAATCAGTGTCAAACCCTCCCAGCAATTTTGCTAGTTTACTAATATAATATAGGTACATGAATGTCTAGTTAACATATCTTTTTTTCTCCCAAAATTCGCTCTGAGCTGATGAGGGTCAAAGCCAGAAACTATGATCTCTAAGCAGCCTTTCTGAATTTGTCAAAGCTGGTTAGTGGCTTTGTCACCTTGTCTGCTAGATTTCAGAGACATTCAATAAATGGCGCATTATTTTTGCGTCTATTTTGACGGGGAATTCGTTTATTGAAAGATCAATTACCTCCCGGAAAAATTCGCATCCGTCATATATTATCAGCAGGGGTCTAAAATTCACTTTGAATTTATTTTAAAAATCTAAAATTCTCTTTTTTATATATTTTTATAAAAGCGAAAGTTTAATGTAAACATCACATTTTTCAATGATTTTTTTAAAATGTGAAAAATGGGATTTCCGAAATATCAAAAAAATAAATAAATAAATAAATAAACAAAAAATATATATATATAGAAAAGAATATCAGCGTGGTGTCACAACTTCGCATTTTATATCCTGTGAAACTGTGAATCATGAGAGAGAGAGAGAGAGAACGCTTCACGATTTTGCGTGTCATCCTTGCGCAGGGGCCATGCTAATCTTCTCTGTATCGTTCCAATTTTAGTATATGTACCGCCGAACAAGCGTGTACGAGAGAGAGAGAGAGAGGGGACAATAACAATTAACATAGCTGTATTGGCATCCCGTCAATACAAGCAAAAGTGCACAGTCCACACTATTTAAGTAGTGATAATGAAAAATTTACAATTCTGATGATTATTATAAAAATAAATAAAATAATACAATGTACAATGAATATGTATGAGAGAGAGAGAGAGAATATGGTTTTGCAGGCTACTAACCAAAGTGTATGATTTTCGAGCCCAAAAAAATTTAGTTAAAAAAAAAATACCCCTGACAGGAGTCGAACCCACAATCCCCGGTTTAGGAAACCGATGCCTTATCCATTAGGCACATCCAGACTAATGAGGTTCCTATGAAGAGATTGTGTTCCATCTCCCGAGGCTGAAGAGCTGCTGTAGTTGTGTGAGGACGGGGTATTTGACCGTAGGATGTCGTAAGAAGACTGTTCTTTCACCACCGACTGCTGTGAGTCACGCAGGCTTCTTTTTGTCTTTTAATTGAAGATCAACGCCATGTCTCTTCGGCCCGGGGCGATGTGTTGCCTGCAGAGAGTTAATTAATAGCTGTCGATCTTATAGCCCTTTTAACAGCAATATCTATATATACTGATGAACATATGTTCTTTGTTTTGAAAATAGAGCAATCCATAAATAGGTCTTTAATTAAAAAGGCATATATTGGATCGAAATGTAATTTCCATTGGCTGAACCTTTTTCAAAGTATTACTACATATTTATGTCAAAAACAAACTGAGCGCCACATAACGTCAATAGAATTAAGTTTTAAAAAATTAACTTAATTCTATTGACGTTATGTGACGCTGAGTTTGTTGTTGCCATAAATATGCTTGTAATACCTTGGAAAAGTGTGGCGTTCAGCCAACTGGAATATTGGTAAATAAATGATATTTTGATCCAATATATGCTTTTTTAATTAAAGATATTCTTTGATTGCAGTAAACTAACCGATCTCATAGGAAAGTTCTTCAAAAACTTCCTTAGTAGTTCACTCATTATCTGTAACGCCTCTTCTTCTCCTTTCTAGGCCAATTTGGACTGTAGCAGTTTATTTTGATCAAATTCTCAACAGGTATTACCAGCTAACACTTCTACCCTTCTAAACTCAATTTCTCCTATCATTTTATTCTTCTCAAATTTGTGTGTGAAATATTTCTTTATAATTTTTATTATTTGAATCGTTCCGCTGTGTAGGTCAAATTACATTTGAAAACTCCGAGAGCTGATAAAATTGTTGAATTTTTCTAGCCTAAATAGAAAACCTACCAATAATTAATACACCGTTTTAAGTTTTAAGAATAGAATTTTCGAGCAAGTGTATATGTGCTTTATCTTACTATTTTATTTATGAGCTCATTTTAAAATAACGCTTGTTTCTCTAAAAAGTGTTTCCATTCTTAAGTAATTAGAATAAATGTATATTTCAGGAAGCAATCTATATATTTACAGTTGACGAGACAACTTTAAAAGAAATTTTCCATCTCTACAGAAACAAGACCGAGTAGATTAAGTCTAGATAGGTCTGTGCTGGAAACTTCTGAGAATCCGAAAGAAGGAGGTCATTCCATGGTCAGCTCCTGTCCTGAGTAAAACAATTATAGACCTTATCGCCCTACTCGATGGTAGATTTCTACCTTTGATAAGCTGAACTTGAACATCCAAACTGCCTTTTAATTAATTCACGAAAAAAAAATACATTGTAAATATTTTTTTATTTTATTGAAAGACGTTTTAAAAATCATTTACTGGTTGAGAATCTGTTTTAAAATGATATAAATAATTCCATAAAAGAATCCCTTGTTACAATATTAAGGTGAAAACATCAGACTTCCAGGGATAAGCCACTACCTGGCCATGTGTACCTGCGATAAGTCAAAAAGAAGAGGAAGGAACTAAGTAGGACATCTTGTATAGGTACAATATGTCTCTACATATGTAGAAACATTACAAGCCACTACCTGGCCATGTGTACTTGCGATAAGTCAAAAAGAAGAGGAAGGAACCAAATAGGACATCTTGTATAGGTACAATATGTTTCTACATATGTAGAAACATTACAAGCCACTACCTGGCCATGTGTACTTGCGATAAGTCAAAAAGAAGAGGAAGGAACCAAATAGAACATCTTGTATAGTACAATATGTTTCTACATATGTAGAAACATTACAAGCCACTACCTGGCCATGTGTACTTGCGATAAGTCAAAAAGAATAGGAAAGAACCAAATAGGACATCTTGTATAGGTACAATATGTTTCTACATATGTAGAAACATTACAAGCCACTACCTGGCCATGTGTACTTGCGATAAGTCAAAAAGAATAGGAAGAACCAGATAGGACATCTTGTATAGGTACAATATGTTTCTACATATGTAGAAACATTACAAGCCACTACCTGGCCATGTGTACTTGCGATAAGTCAAAAAGAAGAGGAAGGAACCAAATAGAACATCTTGTATAGGTACAATATGTTTCTACATATGTAGAAACATTACAAGCCACTACCTGGCCATGTGTACTTGCGATAAGTCAAAAAGAAGAGGAAGGAACCAAATAGGACATCTTGTATAGGTACAATATGTTTCTACATATGTAGAAACATTACAAGCCACTACCTGGCCATGTGTACTTGCGATAAGTCAAAAAGAAGAGGAAGGAACCAAATAGAACATCTTGTATAGGTACAATATGTTTCTACATATGTAGAAACATTACAAGCCACTACCTGGCCATGTGTACTTGCGATAAGTCAAAAAGAAGAGGAAGGAACCAAATAGAACATCTTGTATAGGTACAATATGTTTCTACATATGTAGAAACATTACAAGCCACTACCTGGCCATGTGTACTTGCGATAAGTCAAAAAGAAGAGGAAGGAACCAAATAGAACATCTTGTATAGGTACAATATGTTTCTACATATGTAGAAACATTACAAGCCACTACCTGGCCATGTGTACTTGCGATAAGTCAAAAAGAAGAGGAAGGAACTAAATAGGACATCTTGTATAGGTACAATATGTTTCTACATATGTAGAAACATTACAAGCCACTACCTGGCCATGTGTACTTGCGATAAGTCAAAAAGAAGAGGAAGGAACCAAATAGAACATCTTGTATAGGTACAATATGTTTCTACATATGTAGAAACATTACAAGCCACTACCTGGCCATGTGTACTTGCGATAAGTCAAAAAGAAGAGGAAGGAACCAAATAGGACATCTTGTATAGGTACAATATGTTTCTACATATGTAGAAACATTACAAGCCACTACCTGGCCATGTGTACTTGCGATAAGTCAAAAAGAAGAGGAAGGAACCAAATAGGACATCTTGTATAGGTACAATATGTTTCTACATATGTAGAAACATTACAAGCCACTACCTGGCCATGTGTACTTGCGATAAGTCAAAAAGAATAGGAAAGAGCCAAATAGGACATCTTGTATAGGTACAATATGTTTCTACATTTGTAGAAACATTACAAGCCACTACCTGGCCATGTGTACTTGCGATAAGTCAAAAAGAATAGGAAAGAACCAAATAGGACATCTTGTATAGGTACAATATGTTTCTACATATGTAGAAACATTACAAGCCACTACCTGGCCATGTGTACTTGTATTAAGTCAAAAAGAAGAGGAAGGAACCAAATAGGACATCTTGTATAGGTACAATATGTTTCTACATATGTAGAAACATTACAAGCCACTACCTGGCCATGTGTACTTGTATTAAGTCAAAAAGAATAGGAAAGAACCAAATAGGACATCTTGTATAGGTACAATATGTTTCTACATATGTAGAAACATTACAAGCCACTACCTGGCCATGTGTACTTGCGATAAGTCAAAAAGAAGAGGAAGGAACCAAATAGAACATCTTGTATAGGTACAATATGTTTCTACATATGTAGAAACATTACAAGCCACTACCTGGCCATGTGTACTTGCGATAAGTCAAAAAGAATAGGAAAGAACCAAATAGGACATCTTGTATAGGTACAATATGTTTCTACATATGTAGAAACATTACAAGCCACTACCTGGCCATGTGTACTTGCGATAAGTCAAAAAGAATAGGAAAGAACCAGATAGGACATCTTGTATAGGTACAATATGTTTCTACATATGTAGAAACATTACAAGCCACTACCTGGCCATGTGTACTTGCGATAAGTCAAAAAGAAGAGGAAGGAACCAAATAGAACATCTTGTATAGGTACAATATGTTTCTACATATGTAGAAACATTACAAGCCACTACCTGGCCATGTGTACTTGCGATAAGTCAAAAAGAAGAGGAAGGAACCAAATAGGACATCTTGTATAGGTACAATATGTTTCTACAAATGTAGAAACATTACAAGCCACTACCTGGCCATGTGTACTTGCGATAAGTCAAAAAGAAGAGGAAGGAACCAAATAGAACATCTTGTATAGGTACAATATGTTTCTACATATGTAGAAACATTACAAGCCACTACCTGGCCATGTGTACTTGCGATAAGTCAAAAAGAAGAGGAAGGAACCAAATAGAACATCTTGTATAGGTACAATATGTTTCTACATATGTAGAAACATTACAAGCCACTACCTGGCCATGTGTACTTGCGATAAGTCAAAAAGAAGAGGAAGGAACCAAATAGAACATCTTGTATAGGTACAATATGTTTCTACATATGTAGAAACATTACAAGCCACTACCTGGCCATGTGTACTTGCGATAAGTCAAAAAGAAGAGGAAGGAACTAAATAGGACATCTTGTATAGGTACAATATGTTTCTACATATGTAGAAACATTACAAGCCACTACCTGGCCATGTGTACTTGCGATAAGTCAAAAAGAAGAGGAAGGAACCAAATAGAACATCTTGTATAGGTACAATATGTTTCTACATATGTAGAAACATTACAAGCCACTACCTGGCCATGTGTACTTGCGATAAGTCAAAAAGAAGAGGAAGGAACCAAATAGAACATCTTGTATAGGTACAATATGTTTTCTACATATGTAGAAACATTACAAGCCACTACCTGGCCATGTGTACTTGCGATAAGTCAAAAAGAAGAGGAAGGAACTAAATAGAACATCTTGTATAGGTACAATATGTTTCTACATATGTAGAAACATTACAAGCCACTACCTGGCCATGTGTACTTGCGATAAGTCAAAAAGAAGAGGAAGGAACCAAATAGAACATCTTGTATAGGTACAATATGTTTCTACATATGTAGAAACATTACAAGCCACTACCTGGCCATGTGTACTTGCGATAAGTCAAAAAGAAGAGGAAGGAACCAAATAGAACATCTTGTATAGGTACAATA